ATTGGTGCATTTAGTCCATTTACATTAGGGTTAATATTGTTATGTGTGAATTTGATACTGCCATTTTGATGCTAAGTGGCTGTTTTGCCTGTTAGTTGTTGTAGATTCTTCATTATGTTGATGCTCTTTAGCATTCAGTGTGATTTTGGAATGGCTGGTACTGGTTGATCCTTTCTATGTGTAGTGCCTCTTTTAGGAGCTCTTGTAAAGCAGGCCTGGTGGTGACAAAATCTCTGAGCACTTGCTTGTTCGCTTGGCCCCCACTCTCTTCTGGCTTGTAGTGTTTCTGCCGAGAGATCTGCTGAGTCTGATGGGCTTCCCTTTGTGGGTGACCCGACGTTTCTCTCTGGCTGCCCTTAGTATTCTCTCCTTTATTTCAACCCTATTGAATCTGACGATTATGTGCCTTGGGGTTGCTCTTCTTGCAGAATATCTTTGTGGTGTTCTCTGTATTTCCTGCAATTGAGTGTTGGCCTGTCTTGCTAGGTGGGGGAAATTTTCCTGGATGATGTCCTGAAGAGTATTTTCCAGCTTGGATTCATTCTCTTCGTCCCCTTCTGGTATACCTATCAAACGTAGGTTAGGTCTTTTCACATAGTCCCACATTTCTTGGAGACTTTGTTCATTCCTTTTTGTGCTTTTTTCTCTAATCTTGGTTTCTCGTTTAATTTCATTGAGTTGGTCTTTGACTTCAGATATTCTTTCTTCTGCTTGGTCAATTTGGCTATTGAAACTTGTGCATGCTTCGCGAAGTTCTCGTATTGTGTTTTTCAGCTCCTTTAATTCATTCATATTCCTCTCTAAGGTATCCATTCTTGTTATCATTTCCTCATATCTTTTTCTAAGTTCCTTAGTTTCTTTGCATTGATTTAATACATGATCTTTTAGCTCACAAAAGTTTCTCATTATCCATCTTCTGAAGTCTAATTCCGTCATTTCGTCACAGTCATTCTCCGTCCAGCTTTGTTCCCTTGCTGGTGAGGAGTTTTGGTCCTTTCTAGGAGGCGAGGTGTTCTGGTTTCGGGTGTTTTCCTCCTTTTTGCGCTGGTTTCTTCCCATCTTTGTGGATTTGTCCGCTGGTCGTCTGCGTAGTTGCTGACTTTTCGATTGGGTCTCTGAGTGGACACCCAGAATGTTGATAATGAAGTATTTCTGTTGCTTGGTTTTCCTTCTACCAGTCTAGCCCCTTCGCTGTATGACTGCTGAGGTCCGCTCCAGACCCTGCTTGTCTGGGGTGCACCTCTAGCAGCTGTGGCACAGCGAGGGATGCTACCAGTTTCTTTTTCTGCTATCTTTGTCCCAGGATGATGCCTGCCTAATGTCAGTCTTTGGGATATAGAGGGGTCAGGGAGCTGCTTGAGGAGACAGTTTGTACTTTATAGGAGTTCAATTGCTGAGCTGTGAGCTCTGTTGTTCATTCAGGGCTGTTAGGCTGCTATGTTTGATTCTGCTGCAACAGAGCTCATAAAAAAACCCTTTTTTTTTCTCAGATGCTCTGTGTTGAGGGGTTTGGGCTTTATTTTTGGATGTCCGTTGAGGTCCTGCCCAGCTAGGACGCAGACTAGCCACTGTTTGCCTGCCGAAGCTCTGCCCTGCTGTTGTGAGGCTCGCCCTGGCTCTGCTGTTCTGCTGTGTTCTCCACCACGCCCTGTGGCGGAGTCTCTCTGTTGTAGCGGGTTGCCTCGGCAATGGCAGGCTGCGTCAGCAGTGGGCGTGTATCTCAGTAGGGACGGGTTGCCTCGGCAATGGCTGGCTGCGTCAGCAATGGGCGTGTATCTCAGTTGGGGCGGGTTGCCTCGGTAATGGTGGACGCCCCTCCCCCACAGAGCGTCTCGGGCCGTCTGCACGGGGCTTGTTTGAAATCGTGGTTTTGTTCGTCCCACTAGGCCACCCCTAACGCTCTGTCCCTGCAATCCCCTGGGCTGGCCCACTGTCCAAGTCTAGCTCAGTCTCAAGTCCAGCCCTCTCACGTCTCCGGTTGCCGGTTCAACAGGGCACCCGGACAAGCGCGCCTTGTGGGGAGCGCTGGGCAGGGCCGGCCGCTGCCACCCCGGTTGCCGGCTTTGCCAGGCAGAGGTTCTGCCTGGCGTCCCGCGTCTCCTCTTCACTTGGGAATTTCCCCGTTCCGTGGGCAACAAAGATGAGTCTGGAAATGCAGCTCTGACTCACCTCTCTGCAGACTTAACGCGAACTCCAATCCTGGGTTGTTCTCACAGTGCCATCTTGAGTCCTCCCCCCATTTCCTAATCTTTGATCATTTTACTATAGTCATAAAAGAAAATGTCCTCATTTACAGAAAAAACATACTGTTATATATAGGGGTTGCTATGATTTGAATGTGTCTCCCAAAATTCATGTGTTGGAAACTTAATTGTCATAGTGACAGTTTTAAGAGGTGGGGCCTTTAAGAAGTAATTAGCCATGAGGGCTCCACCCATGTGAAGGGATCAATGTTTTGATCATGGGAGTGGGTTAGTTATCATGGGAGAGGTTTCCTGATAAAGAGGATAAGTTTGCCCTGATTTCCACTCTCCTCTCTGCCTCATATTCATATCTCATCACTATGTGATACCCTCCACCATAGGTAAGACTCTCACCAGATGCTCTTGAACTTCCCAGCCTCCAGAACCATGAACCAAATAAACTTTTATTCTTTATAAATTACCCAGTCTTTGGTATTCTGTTACAGCAACAGAAAACAAAGTTAAGACAGGGGTAAGGGGACTGATACCTGCAATTTACTCTCAAATGATTTTGAAAATAATGTGTGCAGGTTTAGAGAAAAAGAAAGAGCATAAATGATAAAGCAGTGGGAAAAATAACAATCTATATAAAGGGTATGTGAGAGTTTATATACTATCCTTACAATTCTAATAAGTTTGAAATTATGTCAAAATATAAAATCACAGAAGGAAAGAAGGGGGGAAGGAGAGAGGGAGGGAGGGAAGGAAGGATGGAAGGAAGGAAGGAAAAAAGGAAGGAAGGGAGGGAGGGAGAGAGGGAGGGAGGGAGATGAGAGAGGGAGATGAGAGAGGGAGGGAGGGAAAAGAAAAAAAATCAGTATTGGTAAGAATGAAAGACAACTGAGGCTAGGTGCGGTGGCTCATGCCTGTAATCCTAGCACTTTGGGAGGCCAAGGCAGGTGGATCACCTAAGGTCAGGAGTTCAAGGCCAGCCTGGCTAAGATGGTGAAACCCTGTCTCCACTAAAAATATAAAAATTAGCTGGGCATGGTGGCACACACCTGTAATCCCAGCTGCTTGGGAGGTTGAGGCAGGAGAATCACTTGAACCCAGGAGGTGGAGGTTTCAGTGAGCCAAGATTGTACCATTGCACCCCAGCCTAGGAGACAGAGCCAGACTATATCTCAAAAAAAAAAAAAAAAAAAAGCTTTGACTAGAGTCATGGGGGGAAGGTGGGGGAAAGGAAAGGCACCTAGAAATTGACATCATTGATGGGAATGTAAACTGGTACAACCACTCTGGAAAACTGTTTGGCAGTGCAAAACATACATATACTCTATTCTAGCAATTCTACTCCTGGAATATATACCCCCAAAAAATAAGCGCTCATGTCTACCAAAAGACATATTCAAGAATATTCATAACAGTATTATTTATAACAGTAAAACACTGGAACCAACCCAAATGTGCACAATAGGAGAATGAATATATAAATTGTGGTCATTCATACAGTGAAATACTACAAAGCTATACAAAAAAGAGTGAACCACTGCTACCTGGAACATTATGGATAAGTCTCAAACAATGTTGGTGAAAAAGGCAGGCAAAAAGGAGCACATACTGTCCAATTCTAGTTATATGAAATTCAAAATGAGACAATATTAACCTGTGGTGACACAGGTCAGAGTACTGGTTACTTTTGCAGGGATATCAATGAAAGAGGTACAGGGAGCTTGCTGGGGTGCTGGAAATGTTCTCTATCTTAATCTGGGTATACAAATGTATGTCAATACCAATACAAATGCAAAAACTTCAATAACTGTATGGTTGAAATTTGTCTCCTGTATATGAACTATACCTTAGTATAAAAATTAACTACTGAATTTCAGAAAGTTACAACTATTTTTGTAACATTAGAAACAAAGGTGGGATTGAGCAGCTGAGAGGTAGAGAAAGGCTGTGGAGCAGCTCACCCCCCATCTCCTGCCTCATTCTTAAATATTTAAGATCTCTACCAAGAGCAATCAACAGAAGTTATTACTTCTTCCTACGAATAGAAATTCCTTGCAGTCAAGGCCATTTTTGAGACTTCAGAGTTCTGTCCTTTGTGATTAACCTCCTCTGATGAAGTTCAGAGCAACATGTAGAAGCCAAAACCGGACTCAAGCCAGGCAAGGTATGCCTCCCTCACGTTAGTTATTTTCACAAATTCTGAGTGGGTCTCCTCTCTCAGAACTGGACTATTGATACATGGTAATTAGCCATAGTCCTGTGTGAATATCCAGCCCCACCTGATAACAAACCATGATAACAGGCCATGGGCAAAAGGCAAATACACAGGAAGGCCTCCGAGAACCCTCGGCAGGGGGTGTGCATCACAGATGCAAAGTATGCATAATTAGGAAGGACTACATCATTGCATCCTTCTACTAACCACAGTGGCCTCCCAAAAGTTCAAGATCGGTTCAAAGATAAGTTCAGCAGCATAAAAGACCAGGATTCCTGTTCTCAAATTCCCTAATTCCCAAAAGTCAGCACAAACAACAGATAAAACAGACATTTATGTATTCCTTCTCCTCCCTGCTTCTAGGTCAAGATCAACCCTTAGGGAAAGGTCAAGTCCAAGCCTCTGTACACCTGTTATTGATTCATCCATCCTTGAGTAGAAACTGCTGTTGCTGGGCAGAAAAATGGCTCTGATCCAACTGTAGGGTCCAGGTCACACAGTGGATCCCAGGAGAAACTTAACTAAGAGGAGGCTGAAACTCTGGGAGCTCCACTTGGAGAAAAGGTCCACAGTAAAGTAGAGCCTCTTACCTGTCGACGAATGGATGTGCAGAGGTTCAGGCAACGATGGAGCAGCCGTACAGCCTTGTGCTTCTCCTTGGCTAGAACTTTCTGCAGGTCCAGCAGCTCATAGCACTGATCTAGTTCCTGGGGTAGCCAGGACGCAGAGCGTAGCTCCTGCAGAAGCCTAGAATCAAGGGCTAAGCTGATCAGAGCTGGCATCCCAATCATTCCTTGAATACCTTTGACCTCTTCTCAGCCTAGCTTAGCTCAGAGTGAGCAAATATTTATAGAGATTGTAATATTACCAACAGTGACCAATAGTCTTAGTACCCTCTCAAGAGTTTTGTGAAAGAGTACAAGCCCAGAAAGCTGCTTTCTCAGCTGTACAAGCTGAGAAAAGGCTTGGGGTGTGTATAAGTGTTTATACCTAGTGATCTCTCTGCTAGAAGAGAGGGTCAAATAGGTACCAAGGTCTGACTTAGAAGGAGAGACAACAGAGGCTTCTTCCTTGGAATAGAGAAAGCTAAGGGTTCTAAAAGTCTAGGTGGACAGGTAAGTTTTAGGATCAAATGTGATGAAACTTGAACTTCTCTATGGGTTGACCATCCTGAGGAGGCACAATCCTGTTATCCATATCTCCCAAGCCCCAGAGAACTCCACATTTGTAAATATCCTTGAAAAGATAAAAGACTTCTAGTAATCAGACAAGATGGGCATCATTTATTCAGCACCTACTGAGAAGTACTGAAAGTGGCACTTTGTATTCACAGTCTCATTTAATTCTCATTACAGAATTAAACCTAGAAATCTTTATCCTAGTTTGAAGATCAGGAAACTGAGGCTCAAATACTTTGCTAGTACTCAAGGTCTAAATAAGATCTGTCTAGCCTCCCAAGCCCTTATTCTCTTAAATTACACCGTGATGATTAGGCTAGACTGGAGAATGAAACTCCCTAGAGCAGAAGTTGCAAACTGGGTTAAATTCAGATGAAAAAGTTTTTCAAAATGAATCACTAAGCTAACATACAGTGTTTTAATAAAAATTTGAGTTAAAATTTGGTTGAAATTTAAGCTAAAAGTGAGGCATTTCACAACAAAATGTGGACTTCTAGGAAATCCTAAAAAGTAAGGTGGCTTGGCAGATTAGCACCCTAAAAAAAAAAAAAAAAGTAAGGTGGCTGATTACACTTGACCTATATTCCCAAATGGCAACAATTACTTGGAACTGAGTAGTGACTGTCCTCTTCAGATGCAGTCTCCAGATTGCAGTTCCCAGGCTCCCCAAAATCTTTCACCTAACCCACTGCATTCCTTTGATACTTGCTGCTTAGGCCCTTTAGGCATCTGAATTTGCAACTCTTATCACAGAATATACCTTAGAGTAGCTGAGGAGTCCTGTAGGGAAAGCAAGGAAGTACTGAAAATAGGAATAACCAACCTTTTCAAAAAAAAAATCCAAGTAATATCTTGGAAAGAACAGAGAGTCTGGATTCAAACAACTGAGTTAGACCCCCAGATCGGACATTACACATAAGTGTGTGAGTGCAAGTGGTTTAAGATGCATAATTACCTGGAGAAGATAGCATATGTTCTCCATGGAGAATACATTCTATTCATGAACTAGAATATAATCTAGTTCAGAATATATCTTCAAAGAAAAAAGCTGGTTATTTCACAGTATGTAAGGTATGATCACATGTATATGTGATAGAAAAAAGACTAGAAAGGTATGCAACACAATGTTCATGGTGGTTATTAGGAGCAAAGGGTTTTTTTCTTTGTGCTGTTTTGTATCTTTCAGGCTTTTTACAACAAACATCTGTTACCTTTAGTAAAACTAATTTTGAAAAACTCAATGCAGTTGAGTTTTTAATACCTTACCTGCTAATATGGAGTAGCCCAGCTCCAAAGTGGGGCACAGCCAAGAGCAGATGATTCTCTAGAAAATTCCGGAGTCGATGCAGCCCCTGCAATCTCACATTCTTCTTCCAGCTAGATATTAGAGGTCAGTGATAATATGCTGTACTGTCATCCATTTCCCCCCAGATCACATATCCATCATCACCTACCAGGTCAAGGACTTGCGTAAGAGGCAATACTTAAAGAATGGGATTAACTGGAGCTGCTGCCAGAGAACACACTGATGGTGCCAGGTACCCAGTGTCATCGTTTCACTGCCTTCCACAGGATGTACGTGCAAGATCCCAAATGGAGAGAAGACGTAGTGCTCGGGATTCACCTTGTTGGGTGGCACCACCATCAGGCTATAAGGCCTTTAAAAAAAAAAAAAAAAGCTCTGTTCAGTGAGGGCCCTGAGAACTTGGTCAGACCTTAAGAGACCAAAGAAGGATAGAAGAGATGAAAAAAGGGGAACAGGAAGGCAGACAGAAGAAAGGAGAAAAGGGGGGAAAGAGAGAAGAATGATTTTTAAACTAGAAAGATGAAACAAATATCATTAAGAAGAAACTGAAGCCAAAGACAAATGGGAAGAAAGAAAAAAGCACCTAGCCAGTTCCAAGTTCATATTTTCAGGCCCAGATATCTTATATCCCATTAAATCTAAGACACTATCAACCATAAGCTGCAGCATTATCTTATGAAATGCCAAGATAAAAATGCTTCTAATAAGATATTCTGTCAATTTTAAGATGTATCACAATTTTAGAGATGATAAAATGTGAAAAATGCTCATTCTAGAAATGATAAAATACATACATACTTGGGTACTGACAGACATGCAGAGATAATCAGAGAATGTTACTTGGTGGAGTATGAGATTAAAGAAAAGCAGAAGGAAACTAGAAAACTAGAAACAGGCAAATAAAGAGGAAAACTGCAACCTAATGAACTAGACAAGCACCTTCAGAGCCACCTTAAAATCGTAGCTGGTCTTGGGTTCTCTTGCTTCAGCAAAATGCACCTGTATCCCACATTGAATGCAATATATATGTAGTGATATAATAGATATAGCTAGTTACAGTAGACCAGTTAGCATAATGCTATGTTTAGGTACATTTAATAAAGCATTTATTAATTTTTATTTTTCAGTTTTCTTTATATAACTCAGAGCCAGCAGTAGTTTTAAGCATTATATATATTTTTAGCACTTTAAAAGCTGTATTCTAGGTCCTATAATGCCTAAGAGATAAAATAACCCTCCTCTATCTCTTTTCTCTCTCAGCTTTCTAGAAAACATTGTTAAGCAAGTGACTTAATATTTAGATAGATACTGCAATGAATGCACTAAGTCAATTCATATAAAAACCTTGTTTCGTTTCTGACAAAGTTACTAAAATTAATCAAGTATAGTGCTAATATCCCCAAATTACAGTTGGGAAAACTGAAACAAAGAGAAGTTAAAGCTTTGTCCAAGACGGTTAAGGGAAGAATACAGGATTTAAAACCAGTTACTTGACTCATGCCCCCTCCGTTAATCAGTGGGCCATTTAGCTTCCCACAATGTAGCTGCCTATCTTAACTGAGCCCTGACTCCTCTTAAGAGGCACTCCTTTCCCTATGACCTGCTTAATGGAAGCTGCTCTTTCTGTGTAGGGCCAGGAGTTATGGAGTACTCTTCTCATTCCCAACAGCCACTACTCCTTTGAAGAATATTCACTCATGCGACAAATGCTTATTAAGGCAAGCAGTGTGTAAGCCACTGAGGATACAGCAGTGTGCAAGAAAAATCAAGTCTCTGACTTTATGGAACTTAGTTAAACCATTTATCAAGTTGTCCCTCTGTTTAAGTATTGCAGTCAGAGATGGGGACATAAAGATGACTTCTATGTAGCCCTTGCTCTCAAAGGGCTCAGAATCAATTGGAGTATGACATGATACTAGAGAGGAGATGGGGCAAATCAATATCTTCCTGAGTCCCAGACCCAAACATTCAGCTGTTTCGAAAATATCTCAAACTCTGTCTTGCATGCACTTGAAACTTGTTATGTTCTATACTAAACTCAATATCTACCCCCACCAAATATGTCACTAATCTGGACAATTAGTTTACTCATTCATTCAACAAATATTACTGAACATCTACTCTACACCAGACTGTCCTAAGCCCTGAGGATACATCATTAAACATACTAAACCCAAACCCCTCCCCTGATGGAGCTCTCATTCTACTAGAGAAGAAAGAAGATAAACATAATTAACAACAGGGAGGAGGAAAAAAGAGCAGGCAAAGGGAGATTGGCAGTGCCAGGGGAGAAGGAAGGGCAATTTTAAATGGGGTGGTAAGGGTGGGGAAGTGACAGCTGAGCAAAGAGTCGAGGAATGAGGGAGGTATAGAAATAAATTCTCTCCTAAGTGTGAATCAAACACTGGACAAAATGAATTAAAAATTTGATAAATTCAAACACATTTAAAAAAACACCTGTTACATGGCAAATAAATAAATAAATGAAATGAAACAGTTCTTCTATTGATGGTGCATTAGAAATTTGGACCAACATTCCCACTTGAGAACAGCTGAGAAAAACTAGGCCAACTATCTGGATAATATATAGAAACCATCTGTAAAGCACATCAGAGAACCCAAAAATGTAATCCCCCAGTCTTTGGTTCCAGACCCCAAATGGTTACAACACAGTAGTAAAGCGGAACCAGAAATATACCTCCTCCTTGGTATGGAACCTGAACTGCAACTTTTGTTCATTTAATTCCCTGAGTCTGTTGAAAACCTGGCTCCCCTTCTCAGTATCTCAGGAATGTGTAGTAAAATTGACATATAACTACCTTTACTGGAATTTACAGGTGCCTCTGTTTGGGGAAAAGCATCACCAAATGCTGAACTCACTGCACTGGGTTTCCTTCTTTGGCAGATCCTGGCCCCATAATCATTCATTGCCTTTTTAGTTCTCTGGTTAATAGTTTCTTGTCTCTTTACATGCCTAATTATCTTTGATCGTGATGCTTCTCTGATCATAACAGATGATGATAGTTTAAAGCCCTAAGCTTCTCATTTGATTTCTGTAAGCTCTCCACTATGGTTTGTAAGCATTGCATCCTACATTGTTACCATGACTATCATTACAGCCATGACAGTCAAGTGTAGCAGCCACTAGCTGTCAGTATCACAATCAACCACAAGTGACAATTTAATTAATTGTGATGCCACTATGTGTCATGGATTGCTAGTATCCTATTTCCCATTAGCAAGGAATTCAGTACTGGTCTAGACCAAGGACATTACCAAGCCAATGAAGATCCTATATTTGAGGATAGATTCCTGGGACCACTCATAATACCAAGTGCTGTGTTAGTCAGGGTCCAGTCAGGAAAACAGAAACTGTACTAGGCATTTCAACAAAGTGAATTTAATAAAGAGAATGTGTTTTTTAAAAAGATGGCAGAGGGCTAGGAACAATGACTCACATTTTTAATCCCAGCATTTTGGGAGGCCAAGGTGGGTGGATCATGTGAAGCCAGGAAGACCAGCCTGGCTAATATAGTAAAACCCTGTCTCCACTAAAAATGCAAAAATTAGCCAGGCATATTAGCAGGTGCCTGTAATCCTAGCTACTTGGGAGGCTGAGGCAGAAGAATCAGTTGAACCTGGGAGGCAGAGATTGAAGTGAGCCAAGATCACACTACTGCACTCCAGCCTAGGTGACAGAGCAAGACTCCATCTCAAAAAAAAAGAAAAGAAAAGAAAAGAAAAAGAAAAGGGGAACACTAAGGTAGCACAGAGATAACTATAGGCAAAACAAAACAAAATGAAACAAAACCACCTCCAGAACTAGAGGAACAAAAGGAAGAGGTTCGGGTTATAAGAAGCTATGAGGCTGGAGGGCCCTTGCAGAGTTGAGACTTAAAACTCTAATGGGGCCGGGTGCAGTGGCTCATGCCTGTAATCCCAGCACATTGGGAGGCTGAGAAAAGAGGATAGCTTGAGTCCAGGAATTCGAGACCAGCCTGAGCAACAAAGTGAGATGCCATATATACAAAAAATTTAAAAATTAGCCAGGCATGGTGGTAGGCACCTGTGGTGCCAGTCACATGGGAGACAGAGGTGGGAGGGTCACTTGAGCCCAGCAGGTGGAGAGTGCAGCAAGCTGTGTTCATGCCACTGTACTACAGCCTAGGTGACAGAGCAAGACTCTGTTTAAAAAAAGAAAACAACAACAAAAAGAACTCTGAAGGAAAGGGGCTACCAGATGGTGTTGGTAACTCTCAGGGTTATGAAGAGACTGATTCAGAAAGTGCTGCTGGGCCCAGTGTGGTGGCTCATGCCTATAATCCCAGCACTTTGGGAGGCTGAGGTGGGTGGATCATTTGAGGTCAAGAGTTTGAGATCAGCCTGACCAACATGGAGAAAGCTCATCTCTACTGAAAATACAAAATTAGCTGGGCATAGTGGAGCATGCCTGTCATCCCAGCTACTTCAGAGGTTGAGGCAGAAGAATCACTTGAACCAGGGAGGTTGCAGTGAGTTGAGAACGCACCATTTCACTTCAGGAAATAAGAGTGAAACTCCATCTCAAAAAAAGAAAAAAGAAAGAGCTGCTGCCAGGGTGAAAGACCGTTGCTGAGGCAATGATGACAGAAAGAGCAAGCAAACGAAGTAGCAAGTCCCTTCTGCTCTTATCTTGCTGTCCAGTCTCCTAGCACCCTCCATTAATCAAACCTAATAGGAGGCCAACTGAAAAAGGAGAAAATGTTTGCAGAATCTAGCCCCAGTATCACAAAGCAGAAAGGGAGGAGGAGAATTAGAGTCAGGAGACAATCAATTAATAACCAGCAAGATGCTGTCAGTGATCATTTACTAAATGAATTGATCAGTAAATGAATGTATACTATTGATCATTAGTACTACCTAAGTTCAAGGGAAAGAGATCAGTGTGCACAGGAAATAAGGTTCTTTGGGAGGCTATAGTAGATACTGCTTAAGAGCATGAACTTTTGAATTAAGATAGTCCTAGGGTTAAATCCTGGTTATACCACTTATTATGTAACTTTGGATAAATTACTTAACCTCTCTTATGTATCAGTCCACTCATCTCATATATGGAAATAACAACAGAACCTACTTGGTAGATGGGGATTAAGAAATACATGTCATGAGTTGATTAGCACAGTGCCTAATATATTGAAGAGTTTGATTAAAGGCAATTATTACCATTATTTCTGGGAGGAGATGGACTTGAACAGTGCTTTTAAAAATAGGTGAGATTATAGGCATGAACCACCGAGCATGGTGGTTCATGCCTATAATCCTGGCAATTTGAGAAGCTAAGGCTTAAGCCCAGGAGTTCAAGACCAGTCTGGCAACATAGTGAGACCTCGTTCTCCAAAAAATAAATTTTAGAAAACGAGCAGAGTGTGGTGACTTATGCCTGTAATCCCAGCTACTCAGGAGAATGAAGTGAGAGGATCACTTGAGCCAGAGAAGTGTTCAATGAGCCATGATTGTGCCACTGCACTCCAGCCTGGGTGATAGAGATCTTGCCTCAAAATAATAATAATAATAATAATAATAACAATAATAATAATACATTTTTAAAAGTGGGTGTGATTTGGATGTAATGAGAGAAAGTGAATAAATGCCTCTTGAGTCATGGGGAAGGAGACTTGTTTTTTATAGCCTCAGAGATAAACTAAGACCAGGAGGTAGACATTAAAAGAGTAGAAGTTAAAAGAATGCAGATTTTGATTCAGTCTAAAGATTAAGATGTCTGGAAAAAAGTTTCCCTGACATTGCAAAGATTTAAACAAACACATGATTCTTGCATTGCAGTTGGAAGAGATCACCATAAAATTTACTTCTCAGACTACAAACAAGTGTTTCCTTCATTCTGGGATAAAGAAGAAAGAGCAAAACATGAGAAAAGGATGTGTAAGACAACAGCCTATGAAAGTGAAGTGGAGATATAGAGTGGAGAGGAGGAGGCTGAGGAGAAGGGAAGAGAGGTGGGGACACTGGAGTCAGAGGAGGAGTATGTGGAGAAAGGACAGAGAGAGGTGTGCACATGTGCAGAAAAAGGAGGGGGAAGATAGCATAGGAGAAAACCAGGCAGGGGGAGAAGAAGGGGTCTAGACTTAAGCTCTCACCTAAAGTACCGGCTGGGAGCCACATTGAGATAGAGGAAGTGGATCTTCTTCAGGTATCTCTCCATGTTCACAACAGTCATTACCTGGGTGTTCTGGAAGGAAGTCTCAGGTGAGAAGCCAGTGCTTCTCTTTTGGAAGGCCTCTTCCCTGTGAACGTCATAGTCAAGCTGAGACCTGTATGACAAAAAGTCAGGAAACAAAAGGCAGAGCAAAAAAGTCAAGTACCTAGAGGTAGGTCTTTCCACTGTTGGCTCATGAAAGGAGGAGCTAGATCAGGTGCCTGAGGAGACCTGACATAGCATTGCCAGAGCTTGCCTACCATCTATACTCAAAGATACCACACACTGGGCAAATACAGTAGATCATGCAACACAGTTAGGCAACAATATTCACACAAACTTGTGTGAGCAACCCCTCCCTTTCTGATAAATAATCATCTGGATTGATTGTAATTACCATGAAGTCAGTATTACATGATATACATGATACTGTGTACAAACAATGGGAAGACTTCATTTTCCCAACTCATTGCTACATAAGCCCACAGTACTGGATTTCCCTTCCAGGTCAACCTTCTTAGCCTTCCAGATTTAATATTCTATCTTTGATTCTATTATACCTGCTTTCCAACCCTGAACAAACTCCATGCCTTTCACTTTTTCTGCTCTTCCCCCACCATCACCCAATCTCTAGCTTCACATTTTTTCCGTTCCTGCCAAGATCCCCTCAAACTACTGGTGGCCCCCTCAAACCTGCACCAGTACACTCATCCTCTTACTCTTCTATATATTTGTCAACAAAATTGGTGTAGAACTTAGTTATCAATAACTCAAAAGTCAATAAGTAATAATTTTTGGTTGGGGTGACCTGAGAGCGGATAAAACAAAAAACAAACAACCTGTGAAATGATTTAACTTTGACTTAGCCCGTCAGAATATAACAGTATCATTAATTGACCCAAACTTAGAGCAACACAAGTTTGCCCAGGGATAACAGTGCAGTCCTATTCTAGAGTTCATATCAACAATATGGTTTATATCAGAAAGACTGAATCAGAGACTAAGATAAAAAACAAAAAACAATATGGTTTATAACCTTTATAAATATTGTGTTGTAAATACAACACAATATTTACACACATTTACAAATGTTGTGTTGGATCAGGACATCTTAAATGATATATTGCCATTATAGGGTCATCTTCTCAGCAAAGTCCTATATGATATAAAATATTCCGAAGATCATAAAACCAAGGACATTTGCTTCTCTACAGGTTCCTGGTGTCTAATCAGCTGTGGACTCATCCTGCTCTGATGTCTTCATACAAGCCCTCAGGTAGCTACTTCTTTCAGGCCTCTCAAACTGCTATCCCTAACCCCATGCCAGCCCTGCTGAGCTCCCAGCTCTATCCCATTCTCTGCCTCCTTCCCTGCCTGGAGAAAGCTGACATTTTCAGTCATTAGTCAAATCCCTCGATTTCAGTTGCCTTTCCACACACTTATCTGTATCCTTTCTTCTCTGTAAGACTGATTCTTCTATCAGTGCTCTGGATCCTGTATTCTCTCTAGATATTTTTAATCTACTCTTCTTTTTACCTTAATTTATTTATTCATTTAGTCTATGAATATTTATTGAGCACCTACTTCTCAAGCACTGTGCTAGGGGCTATAAACATCTCTCTATACAAAATAAATAAATAAATAAATAAGAGTCCCTACTCAGACAGTAACATTCTTTCAAGCTGCTGCCCTGCTAAAATGCAATTTCCACTTCACCTCCCATTCACTCCTCAATGCATCACAATCTAGCTTTCTCCCCACAGAACTTAACCTCTTCCTGTTACTATATCCAATGAACATTTTTCATCCTTCTTACTTGTTTCATTTAACATGCACTACTGACTGTTCCCTCCTCCTTAAAACTCTATTTCACCTCCTAACCTGCAAAGATATTTTTGTTAATCTAATCTAGAACTGAACACTCCCAACACGTGCTTTCCTCTAACTATATTCCCTCTCTCTCTCCCCCACCACCTCCAGAGGAGCAACCAGGCAAAAGACAGTATTCTTTTGTTCTATAGCACTTATTACAATTTGTAATTATATTTTACTTGTTATCAACTTAATGATATCTATCTCCCTAACAACTGTAATACCTCAAGGGAAGGGATTGCGTCTATCTCATTCACTTCTGTATGTCTAGAATCTTGCAGTTCCTAATAAGTTTAGATATCCAACACTTACTGAATGAATGAATGCCTGGGAAGCCACTCCTCGAGAACTTAATGCAAACTAAGCCATATTAGCTAGACCTCAGAGGTTTATTGCCAGGTTCAAAGTGAAGGCAAAGAACTTGACCCCTTCCCAACATCTCAGCCCATTGCCAATTCAGTTAAGTTCCCTCAGGAAAGGAAACTTGTACTCAGGGCACAGTGCAGCTCTTTGAAAAAGGAAAAGATTCTGATGGGGCTACTGAAAGCATAAATTTGTGGCACTGGCCACTTTGCATTAGGGCCCCAGAAGCCTGCCTATCTATCTAACAGTGGACTCTTATGGAAAGACTTGACCCAGCCATAAAATTACAGCAAAAACTGAGGAAGTCAAGCTTAATTAAAAGTGAAACTAGCCTTCTTCCCGAACAGTGAATGTGCCACAGATAGCTACAAAGCACCGTCTAGAAAATGAGGCCAGAGGACAAGGAGAATTCCAAGACTAAAATTAAAGAACTCTCTTGGTCATGGTGGCTCACGCCTGTAATCCTCGCATTTTGGCAGGCCGAGGCAAGCGGATCAGAGACCTAGCCTGGCCAACATGGCAAAATGCTGACTCTACCAAAAATACAAAAACTAGCCAGGCATGGTGGCATGAGCCTGTAATCCCAGGTACCCAGGAGGCTGGGGCAAAGGAATCACTTGAACCTGGGTGGCAGAGGTTGCAGTGAGCCAAGATCATGCCACTACACTTTAGCTTGGGAGACAGAGTGAGACTTCTGTTTCAAAAAAAAAAAAAAAAATCAAAAACTAAAGAACTCTGAGAAGGCATTCCTGTACAGAGCTCTAATAGCCAGATAGTTTAAAAAAGAAAAAGCTACCACTAAAGGTTGGCAGGGCAAGAAGAAGACTCTGGAAGAGTCAAGATGCAATTCTATCCAGTAGTGCTGCCAACTCCACTCTCCCTGGAAGCTGGTTTAACTCACAAAGACATGTGGGAAGGGCACTCAGACACGAAATCCCTAGGGTACCCTGAGGGAAGGACCCAGCATCCAGGAACCAGCTCACGGTAGGCCCAGGCAATGTTCAGTGATTATGAATGAATTGTAGAAAACGAATTGGGGAGACTTCTGGCATCATCCAGGAAAGAAGCCTGGAAACTGAAAAGTCAAGCTGTAATATTCTAAAGCTTTGGCTGCCTCATAGCTGACTTCTGATTGTCATTAATTTCTGTATTTCTCTATGGGGATTAACACTAAGTCCACTGGGTTTATTTTGCAGAGAAAAAGGAAGAGGAAAGCAACCTCACACTAGTTTGGCATGGAGCTGGGCTAATCCCTATGATCAGCAGAGCGCTGGATCTAAACATCCAAGTGGCCCTAGAGGCACCCATAAAGCAGCTTCTTTTTCTCTTCTGCTCAAGTCCTGGACTGAGTCCCTCACTTACCTAGTCTCTTTTCTTCCAACAGGCTCCTCCTCTGCATTGTCAATGTCACTGCTTTCATACTGTACAGGGATGTCCGTTGCCAGTGCCAAGGGAAGGAGACTAAGTCCATCCAGCCACACAGTCTCTTCTAGGGCCACCTCAGCACCAATGATGCCCAGGCAGCACTGTAGCTCAGGCAACGTCAATGGTTGCAGCCAGGTGGCCAGCTCCTCTTTTACTTGCTGCCCACTCCACTGGGCATGCACAAAAGGACAAGCTGGGCATGGGGGCCTGTGATGGAGCCTCCGCTTCTGGGGATAGCAGTCAGCATGGGAAGGACTGTCTAACAAAGAGTTGTCTGGAGGAAAGGCCTGGACAATGGCACCTAGCAGGTCTAGATGGAGGTGGGTTTGGACCCAGGGTGCCCAGCAGTACAGCTGCTCCAGGAAGGGCAGCAAATCAAGGTGACCAACTAGTAACTCACGATATGGAGGCAGTAGACCCAGTACTGCATGCAGATAGCACCAAGCGGCAGGGCTACTGTCCTGCAACACAGCTGAGAACAGAGTTCGGAGCTCAGCTAGCAGGAGCTGCAGCACTGTGGGCTGCTCTGACTCAGTCGCTGGCTTCAGGAACTGCCTCTGTTTCTGCTGAGAGACCAAGGGCTGTTCTTTGCTGTCCAAGACACATATGTAGTGCCAAGACTTAAGGGGATCAGATGATGTCTCATCAGAAGACAAACCTACCCTCCTCTCCTCCGGGACCATGAGGAGCAGGGCATTCAACTGCTGTCGAAGTGACCTTGCCCACAGCTCAGGCTCCAACTGCCAGTTCCAGGATGCCAGATACCTGGCCTCACCTGCATGGGCCAGCCCAGGAGAGGGGCCAGAGAAGGACTTCAGGCTCTGGGCAGGGGATGGTCAGAGTCAATGAGGTTAGGAGGAAGAAAGGACCCGGAACACGGAAACAGCAGAGATCCTTTCCTGAGACCCTCAGGCCCTCACTACTGCTTCCCCAAAGACTGGTAAGAAGCAGGCCTAAGACAGAGGTGAGAACCCTCCCTGCAGAAGAGTTCCTTCTTACCTCCCAGTACCCTGTCCCCCTCACCTGACCTAGGGGGTTTAGGAGGCAAGGCAAGGGAAGAGAGCCCGATCTGCTGATGAGGTTTCATTGAAGAGTACCTGCTGAAGCAGTGAATAAACTTAGACTTGAGTCCCAGTCCAAGGCTTACCCTAATCATAGCCACCCACACACAGAGAGACTGGCATTCACTCGTGCAATCACTTAGGCAAACTGACAAACCGACAGGGCCCACTTTGAACCTTGGTCACAGCAAGGAATCTACACTCGGGCTGGCGATCGCCTGAAAAGCGGGGAAACAGGTTATCACTCAGAGGCAGCAAAGCCCCAGTCCCATGACGTCTTCGCCCACAGGCTAAGGAGGTCGTGAAGACAGAAAGCCAAGGAGCAGACACAGCAAATGACGGTCAGGATGCGGGGAGGGGAAGACGTGAAGGAGGGGCAAAGCAGGGGGCTGGGAGAGAGGAGAAGAGGAGGAGGACTCTGTGGGAGAGGGTCCTGAGCGTAGGGGCGACAGCGGGTCCTGGGGAACAAACAGAAACAGATCCCGAGCCGAGGAGTCACCGCAGCTCCACCCGCACCCAGCACCCAGCTGTTAGAACCGTTACAAGACCCCAGAAGGACCGAGTCTTTGCCGCGAGCATCCGGGGGAGCCAGAAAGAGGAGGGGCCAGGGTCTGATGTGGGCGGGGCCGAGAGGGCAGAGCCCGAGCCAGGAGGGGCGGGACTAACCTGTTGGCTGAGGCTTGCCTGGGACGGGGACCTGCAGAGGGCCAGGCGGGGTCTCAACGAGTAGCACGGTTGACTAGGGAGACTAGCAATCCAGAGGGTGTTGTAAGCAGGTGTTTACTTTCATTCACTGAGTATCTAAACTAGTGCTAGGCCTTTGGTATGTCTTTGGTACTCCCCCATCCCCACCCCCGACGTATCTATCTACCCAATCCTACCTCCCCAAAAGAAGACCAAACAAAACAAAATACTTGATGGGGGGGGGCGGGAGGGGGTCTCGGGGGGAAGGGCTTATGGAGGGGGCTGATTTTTAAAAATCAAGTTGAATGATTAAAATTTTAAAAATAAAGAAATTGAGCCCCACCTCTCCTCTGAAATCCAGATTAGTGTATCCAACTGCGTACTTAATGTCTCCACTTGGAGAGCTTACAGGTATCTCAAAATGTTCAAAAGCAGATTCCTAACCACCCTTTCCCTACCAAAGAAACCCTGCTCCTGCTCTTTCCCTAAGCGGCCTGAGGTGATCTGTGAAAATGGTTGGCTGTTCACTTGATCCAGAGAACCCTACAAAGGCATGCAAATCAAGAGGTTCCAATCTTCGTGTTCCCTTTACCAGCACACGTGAAACTGCCTAGGCCATCAAGGGTATGCATACACGAAAAGCCACGAAGTATCTGAAAAATGTCACTTTACAGAAACAGTGTGTACCATTCTGATGTTACAATGGCGGAGTTGGCAGGTGTGCCCAGGCCAAGCAGTGGGGCTGGACACAAGGTCGGTGGCCCAAAAAGAGTGCTGAATTTTTGCTGCACATGCTTAAAAATGCAGAGAATAATGCTGAACTTAAGGGTTTAGATGTAGATTCTCTGGTCATTGAGCATATCCAAGTGGGCAAAGCACCCAAGATGCACTGCCGGACCTACAGAGCTCATGGTCAGATTAACCCATACGTGAGTTCTCCCTGCCACATTGAGATGATCCTTACTGAAAAGGAACAGATTGTTCCCAAACCAGAAGAGGAGGTTGCCCAGAAGAAGAAGATAGCCCAGATGAAACTGAAGCAACAAAAACTTATGGCACGGGAGTAAATTCAGCATTAAAATAAATGCAACTAAAAGGAAAAAAAAAAAAAGAAACCCTGCTCCTTTCACTGTCTTTCCCATCTGAGTCAATGGCAAATCCATTCTTTCTGGTTTCTCAGGTCAAAACCTTGGAGTTAGGTTTGCGACCTCTTCCTAACACCTTCTTTCTCTACCCCTTTCTCTCTCTTCTCTCTCTCTCTCCCTGCCCCCACAAGTAATTCTTCAGGAAATTCTATTGGTTATACCTTCAGAATATATCCAGAATCCAAGTATTTCCCACCATTTTAAGTACTACAACCTTGGGTCTAAGCTGCTATCACTTCTCACCTGGGTTTCCACAGCCTTCTAACTGTTCTACTTGCCTCAAGCTCTTCTCATGCTTCTCAGTGTTGCCCGTACAATCTATTCTTTTTAGAGCAGCAAGGGCTGTTTTTCAAATATGGACAGATCCTAACACTCCTCTGCTCAAAGCTCACTAATTCCCCCTCATCTAATTCCTTCAGCTGAAAGCCAAAGTCCTATCATGGCCTACAAACTGCTGATAACTACCTGCTACCTTAGTAGCCTCTCTCCATATTCACTCTACTACTGCTGTGACTGGATCACACCAAACATACTCCCACCTCACAGCCTACATACATGCTGTGCTGTCTGCTTGTGTATCAGTTAGGAGATCCACAAGTTATGATTGTTATTTATTTTTATTTTTTTTGTAGAGACAGGATCTCACTATGTTGCCCAGCCTGGTCTCGAGCTCCTGGCCTCTAGCAATCATCCCACCTCAGCCTCCTAAAGTGCTGGGATTACAGGCATGAGTCATCACACCTGGCTGTGATGGTTAATTTTGTCAACTTGACTGAGCTAAGAGATGCTCAGATAGCTGGTAAAACATTATTTCTGGGTGTGTCTTTGAGAGTATTCCTGGAAGAGATTAGTATTTGAATAGGTAGACTAAGTAAAGATCATCCTCATGTGGATGGTCATTGTACAATCTGTTGCCTAAATAGAATTTAAACAGGCAGCTGGTGGATTTGCTGTTTTAGCTGAGACATTCGTCTTCCATCTTTGGACATCAGTGCCCTGGTTCTCGGGCCTTCAAACTTGGATTGAATTACACCACCATATTTCCTCGTTCTGTAGCTTGTAGACAGCAGACTATGGGACTTCTCAGCCTATCAGTTCTGTTTCTCTGGATAACCCTCACTAATACACAAATTTTCTGCAGCTGCATAACAAGTTATTACAAACTAAGCAGCTTAAAAACAAGACCTATGTAGTATCTCACAGTTCTGTAGATCAGATGTCCAGCATGACTTGATTGGACTCTCTGCTCAGGGTATTATAAGCCTAAAGTCAAGATGTTGACTGGGCTACTAATCTGGTGGCTCAGAGGGATCCACTTCCAAGCTATATTGTTGCTGGCAAGATTCAGTTCCTTGCAACTGTAAGACTGATGTCCCTGTTTCCTTCATGGCCATTAGCCAGGAGCCACTCTCAGGTCCTAGAGGCCACCTGTCTTTCTTGACATGTGGTTCCTCCATTTTCAAGCCAACAACAGTGCCTCAAACGCTTCTCATGCTTCAAACTTTTCTGATGTCCCCTTCTGCAACCATAAAGAAAACATTCTACTTTTGAAGGGCTCATGTGGCTCATGTGATTAGGTCAGGCCCACCCAGACAATCTCTCTTATGGTCAACTATGCCATATATTATAATCTAGTCACATAAGTAAAATTTGTCATATTCATAGTCAATGTTGGGGGTGGGGAATATGTAGGGTATACTAGGAAGATACATACTAGGGAGCAGGAAATCTCTAGTCTAGGAAGACCATCTAAAACAGTGGTCCCCAGACTGGAGTGCAATCTTTTTGGCACCTGGACCAGTGCAGTGGAAGACAATTTTTCCATGGACCATGGGCGGGGGTAATGGTTTCAGGATGAATCAGATGCATTATATTTATTGTGAACTTCGTTTTTTATTAAAATATTGTAATATGTAATAATTATGCAACTCACCATAATGGAGAATCAGTAGGAGTCCTGAGCTTGTTTTCCTCCAACTACACAATCCCATGGGGGGTAATGAAAGACAGTGACAGATCATCAGACATTAGATTTTCATAAGGAGCATGCCACCTAGCATGTGCTGTTCACAATAGGGTTCGTGCTCCTATGAGAATCTAATGCCACTGCTGATCTAACAGAGGCAGAGCTCAGATGGTAATGTGAGTGACGGAGAGTGGCTGTAAATACAGATGAAGCTTCACTTGCTCACCCACCACTCACCTCCTGCTGTGTAGCCTGGGTTTTGGGGACCCTGATCTAAAACTTCTACCTACCCATACAAATGCTATAATGAAAAGACCCAAAATATCATGGCTTAAACATGATAGTTTATTTTTTTCTCTCACATAACCATGCAAATATAAGTACTCCGGGGCTACCATGGTAGACTTTAGTTGTTCTGCCTTCTTTAAGGAAGTAGTCCTTGTCTTTAAGCTCCAAAATAATTTACTACTATGTGTACCAGGTCCCATCCCAACTAGTGAGATGGAGGGAAAAGGAAAGGGGAAGGCATACCCTTTCCTTTAAGGGCATAGCCTGGCAACTGCACACATCAATCACATGGTCACACCTAGCTGTAAGGAAAGCTACAAAATCTAATCTTTGTTTTCAGTGGTCATATGCCAACATAAAATTTAGAGGTTCTTTTCACAAAGAAGGAGACAACGGATACTGGGGACAACTAGTGGCATACACAACTAGCTGAACAGTAGAAGAGTGAACATTTCTTCTGATGCTCTCAAGGCTTACTCTCTCATTTCAATTCTCTCCTCAAATGCCACCTTATTAGTGAGTTCTTCCCTAACTGCCCAACAGAAAATAGAAACTGTCTCCCCAACATCTTTATCCTCTTTACCTGCATTACTTCTTTCCATAGCACTTATTGCCATTACATATAATTATTTATTTCCTTACTATTTCTCCTAACTAGAAATATAAGCTCCATGACAGCAGAGATTCTGACGGCTGCCTGTTCTATCCCCAGCTACTATACTAGGTACCATGAGTACGTGATCAGAAAATATTACTGGAAAAAAATACATGTATAACAATCTTCATTTGTGAGTAAGAAGATAGGCTCTGGAGTTAGACTGCCTGGACTGAAATCCTAACTTCACCACTTACTAGTCATGGGATATTTTATCTCAGTTTCACGCTTTGAAAAATGAAGATAATAGGCCAGGCGCAGTGGCTCACGTCTGTAATCCCAGCACTTTGGGAGGCTGAGAGGGGCAAATCACAAGATCAGGAGTTCGAGACCAGCCTGGCCAACATAATGAAATCCTGTCTCTACTAAAGATACCAAAAAAAAAAAAAATTAGCTAGGCATGATTGCATGCACCTGTAATCTCAGCTACTCAGGAGGCTAAGGCAGGAGAATTGCCTGAACCCAAAAGGCAGAAGTTGCAGTGAACCAAGATCGCACCACTGCACTCCAGCCTGGGCGACAAGGCGAGACTCTGTCTCAAAAAAAAAAAAAGAAAAGAAAATGAAGATAATAGAGAGTGTCTACCTTGTTGTGAGGATTAAGTGAATCAATGTAATGTACACAAAATGCTTTAGAATAGAGCCTGCTAAGTAGTAGATACTTGATAAAATTGTGAAGTGTTTGGTTGTTATTCATTTTGACATAATGGTAAATAAGATAAAAGATTCATTGAGGGCAAGAATAAAGAGCATGGACAGCTCTTCATGAAAGGGCAAGGAAGAGTACTTGAGTCACATTAGGCCTTAAAATTTAAGGCCTGAAACAAGAAAAAGGTAAGTGTGGTGGCTCATTCCTGTAATCCCAAAAACTTTGGGAGACTGAAGTGGGAGGATCACTTGAGCCCAGGAGGTTAAGGCTGCAGTGAGCCATGTTCATGCCACCACACTCCAGCCTGGGCGACAGAGCAAGACCTTGTCTCAAAAAACAAAAACCACCACCAACAACAAAAAACACAATCAAA